AAGTTTTTTTGAAAGGTCATTCATTATCATTTATCATACAATTTTCTTCCACAATCTCTTGGTCTTATACATCACTTTCATATTGAGCAATTTCTATCACGTCTATTTTTATTTACTCGTTGATACTGAACTAAAGTTGTAGGAAAGAATAGTTGCAAAGTGTACAGATATGTATATCGCATAAATCATTTGTGCTACACAGTACAAGAAAAGAAGGAAAGGGGGAGAAAAAAAAGTAAATCATACTATAACGCATTTCAATTTCTATATTTATCTTTTGATTCATCTGACTGTTAGTGCATTTTGTTTACTAACTTTTAAATTTATTAACAAGCCTACTTGATCATTAACTGATCATTTAAATTATTTTATGATTTTATGATTATTTAATTCATATGAAAATGGTATGCAAAATAACAAGTACAGACATATTGATATGATTATATTTTAGTATATCATTAAAATATGAAAGAAAATAATTTTGACAAGTATCAATATTATGCTTTGATTTCTCATTCTTTTGTTCAAACAGATTTCATATTCTTACAATTGAAAGAATTACATAATATATTTTATTTGTTGTGTTCGAATATAATTCAATCTTGACAGAAACTTAATTTGCAACGACAAAATATGATGCTACTCTATCAATTAGAATTGAATATTTCAATTTTTATCGAGACTAAGTGAACTAATAAGATGATTATCATTTTTAATTCTCTAGCTATTGGTGTCTTCTCATTTGACTTTTTCAAGTTTGAAATTACTCAATTTTCGAAAGTTAAATTTTACCTATAGTATCTATTATAGCGGTATGAACATTTTGATCCATTATCTAATGTTATGCATCTATTCTTGATAATAACCTTGTTTTTTCTTTTATTGTTAGGTTTTCTGCCTACATATTTGTTTTTGAAAAGCGTGATAAATAGTATATATATAAAAAAAATATGAGACTAGCAAAGAATGAATCATCATCTAATGACTCGGATGTATATTATTGACTACTAGAAATATTTGAAGCAAATAAACACAAGCGTCAATACGATGTATTCATCGTTGAAAAAATACATACTATTGGCTATGCAATGATGCATGCAATAATATAAAAAGATGCACAAGGCAATCAAAATCATATATGTTTGGTTTACCTATATAGAAAAAACCAGCTTTATTTCACTATCAATCTGATTTATTTCGACAGACGATAATTATCACTTCACAATGGCTTCTTCATCTTCTTCGCCTGAACGTCTTAAAGGTCTTCTCTCCGTAACTGTACTCAAGGCAAATAATTTAGTCAAAAGTGATTGGTTCGGTGAGAACGATTGTTATGCGGTTGTTTCAATTGAACCTCTTCCGATGGGAAGCGATACGAAATCTGATAAGAAGAAAGAACAAACGGAAACATATCAGAAAACACAGATTCACAATGGATCCAATCCTATTTTCAATGAGAAATTTGTATTTCCTGTGCCACAGAAATTAGAAGCTTTATACGTTCAAATATGGGATGCAGATTATGATAAAGACGATCTATTGGCTCATGGAACTTTAAGTTTACTAGACGATGAACAGGGCGGTCAATATGATACGAATTTGAACAAAGAATGGCTTCATATAGCAACCGTATCAATGCTCACTGAAAACGGTGGAGATGGTGGTACAGTACAACTCGTACTTCGTTTCGTTCCTGAAACAACTGCTGTGTATATGGGCAAAAAATTCAATGCTGCCCAAGCAGAAATCAAGAAAAAAATAACGCAGCAAGTAGTTGCAAAAGCAACTGACCTTGCCACAGAAAAAATTCGAGCATACGTTGGAATTGGTGATTAATACTTACAAACTTAAGACTTATGATAATCTTTTGACTTTTATCGATGTAAGCACAATATTAGCTTAGGAAAACGACACATTTGCATTTGTTATTCTTTGAATTTTACAGAAAATAAAGACTAATTTGCGAAAGATGAACCATGCATAATATTAACAAAATTAGAAATAGAAACATTAAAATGCAGCATTCTAGTGTTGTACTCTTTAGCATGTAAAGAAATATATCTTAACTGTTTTAGATTTCGAAGATCAATCACAAGATTAACATCATTTTGTTTATAAATTACAAAATTTTGAGTATTTTCGACAAAGTATATTATCATGACATTTAAGAAAAGAGAATATGCAAAAAGTGATCATATTCCAGGAATCATTGTCTTTTTTTCTGGTTCATATTTCATCATCATCGGTATCATGTATAAATATCATTGAAGGCACTTAAATATGGATCAACGGTTTTCAATTGAACATAAATCTTTCAGATTTATTAAATATAAAGATTTATGTTTCTGAATTTGTTGAAATTAAAAGAGAAACATTTTATATAAATTGAATATTAGTACATATGAACTTTCATAATGAACATCAACTAATGTTATTGTATGGTAATAGCAAGCCAGTCTAAGCTATAATAATCAATCGATTTCATCGAATTGGAAGGATATGGCAAAAGTTTTGTGCCATTAATAATTAATGATCTATTAGCTAAGTCTGAGTATAGGCACTATCGATGATTGGAACACAATGATATTCATTTTACTGTTCATGTTAAACCAAAACATGAACTTGTAAACATTAACAAATATATTAATTTTTGTTAAGACTGAGTCACAGTCATAATCTTATCTTTCTTTAGACAAAACAATATTTGCAGTATTGTATTTTCTCTGCGCATCAGGTCACCGTTTCAGGATGTGTTCAACGAAGACTTTACAGCGATGACTAATGGAACAATTATCCATGGATAATGTACGCATTTCAATCTATTTGACAATCGTAGCCACACCCAAAAAATGGCTCGATTATAGCCATAGGATATTTTTTTCTCAGACACAAACTATCTTATGTGTCTAAAAAGTCTTGAACGATCTCATATTTTGTTTCAAATACTCAGAATATCCCAAAACTAGTGGCCGATGTACTTTAATATTTTGAAAAAAAAGTTTTCTGTCTATATGGATTGATGGTATAAACAACATTCTATTTTTCTGTACTCTTATATTATTCTTCAACTAATATCACATTAATAAAATTTTAATAAAACTTATTTGGTTATGATATGTGACGGTTACATCAGTTCATATTGTCGTCGATATGTATTCTCTGCTTGATTTTCTGTTTGGTCTTTTCACCACTTGTCTTTATTCTTTTTTCTCGACCCTTTTAATGCCTAACTTTTTACACACATGTCTGGTTCACGGTGCTTGCATTGGTAGTTCATTAGTATGTACTAAAAAACTTAAAGAAATGAATTTAGATTACGTCTCGCTACTGTTCATCTTCATTTTGAATGAATAAGAAAAATTTTTACTTCTACATTAAAATGCAAATTGTACTTTATATTCAAGAAAGAGTTTTTCATGATCAATTGTGTTCTGTTTCTAGTGACGAAGCTCCTTCTCGTATGACAGTTGAAAGATGGTCGAAATGTTTTTCTTAAGATCAATAAGAGCTGGAAGACGAAGCTTGAACTACTTGTTTCCGCATTTGATTTTCGTTTCGCTACAGCCACTTTTTGTATGTTCTAATATATATATAGACAGGTACGCATTATAGGAGAGAAAAATAAAGAGGATATCTATCGAAGATAAATATGAACTAATATAACCATCACACATCACAACCAAACAGGTCCTATTGAAATTTTATTAATACGATATTAGTTGAAAAATAATAGAGCAGCACAGAAAAGAGCTTCATGGTTGCTATCATTCCATATAGAGAGAAAGTTTCTTTAAGATTTTTATAAGGATTTGAAGTATCTTGATCGCTAGTTTTGGTATGTCCTAAATACTATTGTGCACAATTGATGTTCTCGAGATCAATACCTTCTCATATTCATCGTTTATTCACATATAAAATGGATGTCAATCAAGTTACATAAGATTGCAGATCGTATATCAGATAATCACTAATGGACAATGGCATATGATCTATAATGGCTAATTCAGCTTTCAATGATTGATACATTGACTCACGATTCATCATACGCATTTCGTACAGTTCTAGAAGACAATGACCATCCAGAAGTGGGTATAAGAAAAGCATGATACTATCAAGTCCGTTTGTTAGAAAGAATGATTGAACATGATAATTTGTCCAATGAGTAAGGCAGTGGGGCAGTTCGCTCTATAAATAAATAAAATAGGATAGAAAAATTTGAAAAGAATCCTTTTACTCGTATTTATTTTCTGGCATAGATTGTCTGTAAAATTGATAGCTTATTGATTATTCCTTTATTCTATTGTAGAATTATGAAATGAGAAAAATACTTCTTAGTCTCCTTTAGGTTCAACTAGAAATCATGAGATAATTTGTATCGATGAAGGCACAATCGACTAATATTTCTCATAATCTTATCATCAGTCAAAAAAATATTTTCTACATTTGAAGAGAAAGTTTTTCTTAGATAACATTTTCATAAGTATTCCGTTTCATGTGACACACTTTATTTTCAATTGAACTAGAATCGAAAACAACTTTTAGTTTGATGACTTCTTCACTTATGAGGTTGATAAAAAAAACTTACACGATTAGAGTTTGCTCGATCAGTGTCACAGTGTCTTCAATGGGTTAAGAGATGTTGGAAGATATACTTTGCTGGTCTTTCTCTATAGATTCTATCTTTGAATGACTAGATTTCATTTGACGATGCTGATCAATTTCCTTTGTTAATTTATCATACACCAATTTAAATTCGTTCTTGACGAAACCTACGTAGACTTTTCCGCTCATCATAATACCGGGTCATTCGTCGGGTTTATAATGAGATTTCATAATCAGTGGAATCAAACGACAACGTCGTTCAAATGTACAATGTGCTTCTGATTGATAATAGACATTTTGTTTGTATATATCGGACATACATATGAGAACAAATTCTGAATTTTCAATAGCTTCTGCCATTTCAATCATTGTAGCTTCATGCATCTGATCACGATCAATCAAAACATGAAATCAATCTCGAAAAGTCTTTCATGAATTTGATAACATAATTGTCGATCGCTATGTGAATAACTTATCATAATATCATATTGATACGATTTTAAAGTTGTCGATTTAGCAACGGTTTCACCTTCTTTGTCTAATTTCCAAAGAAGACCTTCAGCAGCTCGTTGTAAATTTGATTTATCCAAATTAGTATTACTTTCTAGATTTCGAATTTGTGTCATAAAATCTGTATCTTTTCTGAGAATCGTTAAGGCATCATTATTGAACGAAAGTGCAAGAAGAATTTCGAGAACTATTGTTTGTACTTTAATCAGATCAGATTTAGTTTCAGTGATACATCGCATAAATATGGGAAATACATTTTGTTTTATTAATTCGACTTTGACTTGATCATGTTGAACAAAATCTAACGAAAAATAAAAGGACTCGTATGAAGAAATTGTTAAAAGCAAAATATAACTCACTTTTCAAACTTTGTAATACACTATAGAAGCGTTCCATTTTCTTCGGATCATCAATTGTATTTGTAAGAAATTTAAGGTATATAGACGCAAGTTTACTGGGAGTTTCCATCGTTTTAATATCTGGTTTTGGCATCAATTTACCCAAACAACGATATAGATTCAATTGTGTTTCATCTTGTTGAACATCGGCCATTCGAAGTAGCATTGAAACTAAATTCGGTATAGTTTTCATAAAAGTTAATAGGTTTGGAATCAATGTAAAATCATATAAGTGTTGTATGATACGTCTTTTTATCGAAATAACATTCTAATCGTTAGACGAATGTTGTAGCATCGATGACAAAAATGATGTCCAATGAGAAACAAATTTATAATAATCATCGTTAAATTCTTTACTTGAAATATTGATAGTTTCCCATTCGAGAGGACGAATAAGCGAATAGGTTAAATGACGTATCATAGCTCCAACCGTTTTAGAGCAATGTATAATTAAATCTGCAGAACAATTTATCATTCATTGATTAAAAGGACTTAGTAATAGTTCTGAATCACGGTTATCTGAATAATTTTTGACATACAATGTACCTGTACTAAGAATCAGTATTTGTCGTTGATTGAGTTCTTGTGAAAAATTATGTTTCAATTTTTTTATCATTTCAATAGAATATGAAGAACATAAACATTTACAAACAGCTAAAATTAATGTTCTAGTTGATGAATATTCTTTTATTATGCTTTGTAGTCTTTCGAAATATTGAAATGCCATTAGTAGGATATGAATCGAACTTAGAAGAGAATCATTTAAGTATTTGCCGTCGGTACTAATCGCGTTGAGACAATTGGCAAGTTCATCAATTAACGGTTAATGGAAAAGAAATTGTTTAACTAGGTGAGCATTTGTATTATTGATATGTTTGCTGATATTTGCAAATAATGCTGACAGATCACGTAACAATTTGCATGCAATATCTGTATATTGTCTTCTATGAAGATAATCGATAATGACACAATCACGTAGGATAATAAAGAGCGGATGTATAATAAGTCCAGGATCGGCAAGGTGTTTATTCTGAGATGAAAACTGAACGAATATGGGAACGATTTTTTTGTGATAAATGTAATATTCACAGGGGAATTATTAGATTGCTTTATTTCGGAAAGGAATGCATCAAATGATGCATTGAGTTGTTCGACGGTGACAGTTGCATCTTGTTCTCAAATTGTACCACAATTTGAGAACAATTTTGTACTCATCTTTTATGGTTCATTTGAGAGAAAAACGTAACTATTGACAGTTCAAGAAACTTTATAATGTATATATAAGTAAAAGAAAAGAATGAAAATAATCCCCAGATATCACTCAAGTGATGACTCGAACTGAGTTTTAGAAAATGATTTTCTAAAGCAATATAATTATTTCAAGCGTATCAATCAATGGACGGTCTCTTCTCATATCTAGCAAGTGTACAAATAAACGTGCAATATATCTTAAGAAAGAAAACTAATCCTTAAAAATAAAAAAACGAAAACTTGTGTTTTTTTTTGCATGGGCTTTTAGGCGCACATATACATACACATGCAACTTTCTCTCATAATCACAGTCAGATTCTATCCTGAGTGATTAACTACGTATGAACACCATTTTATGATGAAGGTGACATAGTCGAGGTTTCTTTCCATACGGGTTCTCTCTTCAGTTTTATTAAAATGTATCAGATTAATAGAAGCTGCTGTGAACGAATTTGAGATTTCTTTGAAAAAAATATGTAACAATATTTATTTGCGTTACCTTGACAATCTTGATTGGCTACGTCTTCCACTTGCTTTCTTTCACCGAAAAGCAGACAACGAGAGAATAATTGATAGAACCACTTTCTTTCTCTTTCCACATGTCATATCTTTGATGTAACGTTTGCTTAAATTGATCCTCCTCTGAACAGAAGAATATTGTTCTCATCTCTACTATTTATGCCTGGAAATGATGCATTGGTGCAGAACATTGTTCAATGCGAAAGATAAATCTCATGTACATTTAGAACTTTTGAAATATGGGTGTGGATGTAATGTGAGTCTTCTTTCTATTGACACCCACACCTTAGAAAGAAATTAAATAGGAAATCTTCAAAAATAGTTCGATTCTGAACTATAAAAATAGAAGATATTGACGGAATGCTGACACAGTAATTATGTATAGACTATCTGATAATAATTAGGTACCGTAATTACGTCACACGAATCAGATTACAGTTTATTCGTAAATTTGTAGTGTCTGAGGGAAAAAATAAGGCAGCTGACTCTCTCTCTTTTATTGCTATGTTCTATGCTATATCAATAGCACCAATTATCAGAAAAGAGAAGCATCCATTTCACTAAGATTTATGTACTGTACAAGCAACATTGATAATTACATTCAATGCAGTGCTCTATTCGCGGAAAAAGAGAAGTCCAGAATACCTGATATCATGCATGGTAATCTCTACAAGTTGTTATGATAATTCCTCTTGACTCTCGTCTAATATGACTGCTAGACAGGTTATTATTATCTAATATTACACTACTCTTTGAATAATATTCTTTTGGTCAATCATACCAAAATCCAATACCAATGAACGATCGTGTGCAGTAAATACCTAATTAGATCAGACTGTAGAGGAGAAATGCATATGAATACGAGTCTTGTTACTAACTCAAGATACATTCAGTTCTAGGGAATTCCTTGAAGGGTCATGAAATTTTGCTCAACTCTAGCAAATTTACGCAGAACGCATACTTTTCACATTTAACATTGATAGATAGTTGCCATCATTCTCAAAAGATCAACTTTCTAAATTTCATGTAACACCTATTTTTTTTAGAATATGGATGTAAGCGGAATTTCGTTTTCAATAAAAAAAAAGATGATTTTTATCGAATTTATCCTATCAATGAATTCGATTATTTATTTCAAAAATTTAAAAAGAAACAAAGAGTCACTGTAAATAACAAAAAGATAACAACAGAGAAGTGGCTAGTATAAATGAATTTGAATATCATTCAGATAACTTATTATTGATTGTTACTCGAGTCATGTTCACTCTCGCAAGTGACATCAATTCGTCGAATTTTACCAGATGAGGTAAATGTATACATGGTATTCCATATTCTGTTGTCATGCGACACTACAGCTTGTATTGTGTTTTCGTCTCGATTCTCATTAACATACTTGAGAACCTTCCATTCAGCCGCTCGTTTTGTTTCATTTTCTTTAGTATAATATTCTCGCGCTTCATGAATGTTCTTGTAAACGACTTTGGAATCTACGGTTTTCTGAACATTGTCTTCGAGAAGAAGGTCAAGTTGATTGACATCACCATTGCTAGCAGCTGCAGCAAAATGTTCGATGATGGCCTTGTGTGATTGACTCGAAGGTTGTGACATAATAGCCAAGATTTATTTCAAAGATTTACTTTGTGTCTTCGGGCAAAAGCGAAAGAATGTTTTATTGCTTCAAGAAATGTAATCGAACTGTTGTATCTATATGTTATATATAGGCAATAACACGTTGGTATTTTTTCTTTCGAATTTTAGCACACTCATATAAACAAAAAAACAAATGTTGATGTGTCTGGATAGGAAGGTGAGTAAGTGTAGCAAGAAAAAAAAAGAAAGTAACTGCGTCAAACTTTATTGACTAACATTGGCCCTGTATTTTATCTTTTCTTTTTCACACATGGCATGTGCACACTCATCAAACTGCTTTTTCCCGACATTATCGTAAGGTTCACTAAGTGCAGATTTTTCATGTACAAACTGTTAGTGTTCTATAATATATGCATATGATTGCATTTTTCAAAAATAATTATTGAACCACTTTGTTATGGCTCTTCTAGTTAGCATCTTCTATTCATATATTCATCATATATTTTTGCTGATAATATATTTCTTCAATAGAGATACGTACAGTGAAATCTTAAGTCAAGACTCCAGTTTTTTTCTAAATGTAAAGATTATATTATCGTTGAGTCTTCTACGTGTTCATTTGGCGAAACTTTCAAATTAAGTTTTATAAATGTCACCTACCTAGCACCAGAGTTGCTACGTATGAGAATCCAAACTCCAGAAAGATTTTCGACAATCAGTGTTAACTTCTTAAAACATGTTTTTCATAGCCAGAGTATCAATAATGTTATTCTTCATTTTTATAAAATATTTCAACAATCTGGTTTTGACCAGAAAAAAATCATAAGCTTCTGCTCGAGATACAGATGATTTTGAACGAATTTTTGAATCAGCTTCAAACCCATATAAAAAAAAAATGTAAGCAAAAGTCAACATTTTATTATTTTCAAAAGTTCTTTTTAATAGTTAAAGTACTTACAAGTGAACCTTTTTAAGTACTTTTTGAAGTCGAAAAAGTATGAGAAAATACTATAAAAAGTGGAAAATAGTAAGAAATGTTACTTTATTTTACTTTATTAAGATTAAAAATGTACTTAAAAGTGATTTTGGTTCACTTTTATTTAACATGGAACCTTCATGATCATCAAATCCATAGCTTTCAAAAATATCAGTTAACTGTTGCGCGTAATATCCTTAGCTGATAATATGAATATTTATTTAGATTTACATAACCAGCATAAACGCTTTTGTAATTAATCAATTAATGCTATCTTTCTCGATAGGGCATAAATAGTATCTGCTGATTGTGCAAAAAGTATGTGGATGTCATGATGCAACAGTCAAATGAAAAGTATGGTTCTCAATTACCACTTGATATAGTTAAGTAAACAAGTTATCGAGTGCTTGTAGATCAACAACTTCAATTTCTACAAAATTATGGTCAATTGCTGGAGCATCAATATTTGTAGTATTTGGTGGATAAATGAATAAATGTATTAGCTGATCATCGCTAAGATGCTCTTCACCACTTCAATAGGTTGTACTTGTTTTGGCGTTATGTTTTCGCTCAAAATTGTTTGATCTGGTATTCATTGTTTTATTATTTCATGAAGTGGAGTTATTTTTATTACTGAAGCAACTCCATTATATTTGCAATCCATTCTTAATCCATGATTTGAAACGAATCAAAAGAATGTTTTCATCGAACGGATGAAGCAAAAGTTTTGCATTAATTTACCTTTTGATATAGCAACGTATTGAGATGTCATAGAAAGTTCTTTCTTTTGTTAGAAAGAGCAAAATGCCTAATGGAAAAATCTTAACACA